CTAGTGCACCCCTTACTGCGAAAAATTCTCTCAGAGGCTGAAAGACAAGGCACTACACATTCTGCACAGTTACTCTGCTAACAGGATCCATGTCACCAGCAAAAGACAGCACAGTCTGTCTACTTTGTAAAGGTAGAGCAGTTCAGACCACAGCTGGACCAACTGGATTTTAGGCTTCTCTCTGCATTAAATTTCACTGCAGAAGATGGTCAGGAAGAGAGGAGGGTGGAAGCAACAAGTGCAGCCACCAGTTCTCCTTTATGCCGTAATTTTTTAACATTGCTCAACACATATGCCTGATTTAGACAGCTGCAATTCTCCAGACCTAAGCAGTTACACAAACATTCAGACACAGAGGTAACATTAAAGACCTGGCAAATGAAAGACTAGACAGTGCTGTGGGATGAAAGCTGAATGCCAGGCCAACACTTGCTCACTTCTTCCTTCATTTTGTCTCATGAAAGCAGCACAAGACAAGCCCCGACTTCACCACCACTCCAGGGAGAACAGCAGTGGGGACACTAACCTCTCCCGTGAATGAATTCTCTCACCCCAAGGTCGAAGCCTTCTTTTTTGATAGAGGGGGATAACCTGCATCTCCTCACCATGAGTGATTGCAGGTTGGGTTGGTGACCTGTGAGAACATAACTGCTTTTATCCACTCATTTTAGCCTTGAAAGATTTTTTAGCTCACCGATCAATGACCCAGACACACTGGGTAGCGTAACTTCTAAAGAAATTCCTCATGACTGAGCTCCTAACAATACATTCAAATGTCACAAAAAGTCAGTAAACACTCTGAAGACTTAAGTGCACATTCTGGACAGCAATACCGGGAACTTCTGGGTTTAGTATCTGCTATAAAAAATCCTAAAATGTCAGCACATTTCAAAGATTTTACCATATTTTTTTAGTCTCCAGCTCACAAAAAAATCTTTGATTTAAAAAAAAAAAAAGAGAGAGAGATAAATAAGACCCATCTCTTCCACGTTGCATTTATTTCCCAATAATAGCCCACACTCATGCCAAAATCTGTAGGAGAAGGTTTAGGAGCCTTCTGCTAGAGCTCTCTTACAAAATTCCTTCCTTGCAGCTTTCTTCTGGATTGAAATTTGCCATCTAGGAACCATGAAGACTGCTTCTGAGGCTTGAGGAAGAGAACAGCTCACTGGGGATGAGCAAGGAGCAAATACCTTGGTTTATGGCCAACTTTTATGTAGCCTTCTGTCAAACCCAGCAACATGAACGCCTTAGAGAAGTAAACTCTGTTCTACTACACAGCACTTGTCACAGTGGAGGCCCATACGATGACTAGAGGTTCTGGGCACCGCAGAATCCAGGGGGGTTAGCCTAAGGTGTGTATATCTGAAGACACAAATGGAACAAGAGAGGAAGAGGAAGATTTATCTCCGATTTTTTTCCTTCTATGACAGGAAGATTTTGTGTGTTATATTGTTTGATGATGCCATGGATAGGAAAGAAAGCTATCTTCAGAATATAGAAATCTATTTTGTAAACAGGTTCGGATTAAATGGAACTGTGATTTCTCCATATGTACAATGACTAATGAAATGCTTTCACTAACGCTCCATGAAAATAGAAAGTGTCATAAATGAAACAACAAATCTGTTAAAGTAACAAGCTTAGAAAGCAGAGAAAAACATATATACTTGGATAATAGATCTTCCAAAGTGCACAGCAGAGGGACACAATCAAGCAGACAGTACACTTAATACGAATTCACCACAGAACCTCAGAACAAGTGAAATATCTTCAAAATGCAGATCTGATATAGAAGAGAAGTTATCAAAAAGATTAAAGTACAGGTATACTGGTGTGGTACAGGGCAGTATAAGCATTGGACTGTGCATTTATAGTCTGATTAACATATGAATTCAATTACTGTGTATGAAATAAACTACACAACATGTAAGGAATATGAACCAGCGCCGGGAAACATTTAACTCGTGTAAGCCATGAGTAGAAACCAGTCACACTAGTAAGGATTTAGGCATTCTGACCATTTCTATTAGAATATGAGCAGTAATAACAGCGATTATCCTTTTCAAAATTATTCCCATCGTGATGAAAGACACTTAACTTTGAGCTTGTCCATGGTACCTGCTGATTCTTTAGATCGTTTTTAAGTTCAAGAACGTGAGTTCCCTCAGACTTCTCCTTTGATGACATGGGTTAATAGACCAACTGCTTTTTCAAGTGACATCGACTTTCCTTTGACTTTAATGAGCATCATTATACTGCCTTAGTACAACTGAATAATATACATGCATAACATATATATGCACATACATGCCATATCCTGTGGCAATAAATTTTCCAATTTAATTTGTCATCTACATGCCCTCTTATCCTGTAATAGACATTCCTTCATTATTTAAAATAATAATACCTGTGCTTCTAATGGTATTTACTCTACTTCAAGAATACAGAGTTAATTTATTAAAGAAGGTGAGCTGGCATGGACAGAGGCTCCAAGAGACTCCAGATGGGAGAGAAAAGTATTTATATAATATTATTTTGGAAAACACAGTTGACATGTACTACATGCTACTTGCACAGGACTACAAATAAGACAGTCCAGGATCAAGGTTCAGGTGCTTCTGAAGTGACAGAATTAAAGCTGGTTAGTGAAGATGCTCTGAGCATTCATGAGACGGAAAAGGCTTTAGATGCAATGGCGACACTCTATCCTATTAACTTGTTCTTCCATTGAGTTTAATTTTAGCATTTTGCTCTTTTAAGGCATCTTGTCTAAAACTGTACTTTGCAAAACTTAACAGTGAATTAACACAGTTTTGGGATCTATGTGCATGTTATATAAATATCCGATTAAATATAACACTGGGCTTCTGCTAGTTCATGTGAGAAAATCCATCCAGAGAAAGTATTGAAGACTTCCAGGGATGCAGAGCTGTTTTCCCCTACTTTAGATATTAAGATGTTGAACTAAGTGGCTGGAATATATTAACTGCATTCTCTATGACTGCAGTAAGAACTGAACTTACAGAGATTATCTGATCGCTTCACTGAGGTATTCATATTTTACTGTGCTGACTTCTGAGGTCTGACACTGTAGGTTTAGTTAGAATGTACTAGACGTCCCCAAAACCTCTAATTCATTCCAGGATTGGCTCCTCATGCCTAATATCTGGTGTTTGCACAGAATGCTTTAGTTCTTACTGCTTTTACACTGTCTTCTATTCTCACTCCCCACACTTTGTCGAGTTACTTTAAAAACTTAAAACTCATTATGACAAATGAAAAGTTGTAATGCACAGCATCAGGAAAACCCCCACTACATTACAGTAGATACAGATCTGATAATTTTGGTAAGACCTATATCTACAAATGCCAATTTATTATTGATACAGCAATGATGGTAGAAACTGAAGAGGTGCAGCTAGTAAACTAGTGCAGTGTTCATTGATACCAACGGAAGCTGAGTTTGTACAACAGAAGGCTAAATTAGAGCAGTTTCATACATTTTTTTGTTAAATGAAGAAAAACGAAGAATTATCACAGCATATTGTATAGGGGTGTGTTTTCATTTTGGTTATAACACAGGATCTAGTGCACTAACTAAGCACTATGTCAAATAATTTTCCCCAAGCTGTTCAAGGAATAGTTTCCCATTTTGCTACCAATCTTTAAGAGAAAAAAACTCATAAACCATGTAAGTCTAGTAGAATTATATATATTAAGGACAACTATGTCTTTCTTGAAGTAGGAAGCTGACAGTTGATTTTTCATTACTCTCACCACAGTGAAGTGCATACATGAACTCCTCCAACATGTAAGGGGGGGGCCAGTCTGAGTACTGCAAGTAATAACTTGCTCTTGCCTGTTTTATGAAAAGCTGCAAGTTAAATTTTTGAGTTAAAATGTTGAGTTTCTCTGACACAAGAATACAGGAGAAAATCTGTTGGGAATACCAGTGAAGAGTACACTGAAACTACTGGAGAAATATTCTTAATAAAACTTGTCCTTCAGTCTCTTGAAGAATTATTTTCTTTTAGTATGGAGGGAAAACCTAGAGTAAATTAGCTGCTTTCTTGTTTAACGTGCTCTAATATGAAAAAAACATTATAGACTTAAATCTTATGCAAAAGCATTCTCTTCTCCCTCAAAAGGGCTTGCTCCAAGGGTTTGTCTTCATTAGCTGTAGAGAGCAGTGACATACTATTTCTGCATTCCTGTGGACTGCAGCAAATTGTCCCTCTTGGCTGTCATTGTTTCCTACGGAAGCAACAATGGCTTCCATTTATCACAAGCTGACACCACATGGCATGCAAAATTACATTTCACACTGCAGCATCCAAAGAGATGGTATAAATAAAAGCCATTTATGTAAAACACCTAGCAACCAGCAAAAAATAAAAGGAAAAGTATAACTGGTTTGAAAAATGAAGAACCTTTTCATGAACCACAGTGACTTCTAGTTCTAACCAGCAGCTCTGAAAGCGTTAACTAACTTAAAAATCATCTTACAGAACGTATAGAAAGAATCAAGAAACTGATGCTCCAGAGAAGGCAGTGAAATTTCCCCATTAAAAACAAGTCCTGATAAACATACAGTTTTCTAGAGACATCAAAGCATGGTGCAGCTGTTAGTACGTCAAAGAAGTATTGTGTTCCCTCCAACAATTCACTGGTGTCAGCTTGTGTTTGGCGTTATTGATATTAGAATAAGCAAATGCACCAGCCTGACAGCGACTCTGGGCTCTTTTTGTTTCAGTTGCTGATGGTGGTATCAGCGTCTGCATGCTTTTATGTACAGTAGGTAACGCCCCCACTCATCTATGGAAGGACACTTCATCGTAGGATGTAAAGGGCTCCTTCCCAGCAGGGCAGCCAACATCCACTTCAGTTGTCTGAGAAATGCCTGAACTTTTGCGTCCTCTCACAAGAATTCTGGGGTATGCCTTGGCTATTTCTCTGACGTCTGGTTTTGATAAGCGATTTTCAGAGCCTACTGTCTCCTAGGAATTCTGCAGGAAGAGACTCGGTGAGGTCATTCGGCTTTTCACTGAGTTTCCTTTCTCTGTTTTTGGCCGTTCTCGTGAACATGACCCTCTAGCACTCAGGAACATTTCTGTTCCCTTAGGAACTATCGACCACTTGCTGGTTTTATCTCTGCACACACAAGAGCTCCATGTCGCTGGAAGGGGAAACAAGGTTGACATTAACCAGGGGAACATAAGCGGCTCGCAGATGCAGCTGTGAGCTGAGTTCATTTATTAGCTCAAGTGCTGGCAAGGCTTACACTTGTTTCTCGGCCTCTCTACTGGCCATTGGCCTAGGTCCGAATAGCTGAAGGCAATGGAATAATAGCTGGTTTGTCAGCCCATTTTATTCATGAAATGGGGCACGGCAGGAATACTTGGAAAGAAGCAACAAGTAAAAGAAAATGCGGCTTATTTTCTCTGGTGCACAACCACTCCGCCCCAGAGAGTGTGTGACTTGCATACGGCTCTTCTGTACGAGACTATTCATATCAGATTTCATTTCTTGCTACATGGGTTGCTATGGATACAATTCTGAACTGCTGCTTTTGTAGGCCAGGAGATTTATGACTGCATCCCGAATGATTTTGCTCATCAGAGTCACACAAGATTTTTTTTTTTTTTAAATAAACAGAAGTGGAAGCAAACACAGCCTGCATTTCTCAAAATATTTTTCACAACTAAATCCTGTATTTTGGATCTTCTTGAAGTCTACCAGAGTCTGTGGATCAGTCCCTTATTTATACCAAGGTATTGATTTATAAGAAATGCATAACCATATGTACAAACTCCCAAAAGCCAAGGCCTGCTGAAAGTTAAGGGTTTGTATCAAAACAGACCCTTGCAGACTAGCTCTCAGTTCTAATCATACTCATTCCAGCTTTTTCACGTGCAAAGACAGTCGGGTTCAATGAAGTCACAGCATAAACAGACTCTTTAGAAATCCAAATCATGTGATTTATGATTAGGTTATTGTTTATCAAAACTACAGGAAGCCTTGGCGCTACAATACGCACAGATACAAAATGGAACACGTACAAGTAATACAAAAGAGCATGTAATTAATATTAACTGCTAGCAATTCTAAAGCATCTGACAACAAATCTTCATATTAAACAGACAGTCGGAAGCTCTGGGATAAACATACTCCTCCACCTTCCTGGATGCTATTAATCATACAGGATGCACATTGTCTTACCTTTCCTCAGATGGGTTCATCAGCAGAGTCTCTGGCATTGTACCGATGGCTAAAGGAGGTCTGTTCCTGTAAAATCTCTGGAAGACCTTCGGATGCTCTAGAAGTTGCAAGTAGAACTGAAATATATAATATTGTTAGGGAGCATTTGTACTACGTGATCCAAGATAGCCCACACCATCATGCTACGTGCTGCA